CCCCCCCCGCCGCGCGAGGCGGGAACGGGAAGGAAGGCGGCGCCTCCCCCCTCAGGAGACCCAGCGGGGCCCCCTCCGCCGCCGCTTCCCCTCAGCGGCCTTTCCCACCTGGCCCAGCGCGCTCTCTGCCATGGGGCCCGCTCGCCGCCGCCTCCTCCGCCTCTTCTAGGCCGCCCGGCTGAGGGACTGGCTGAGAAGGCCGCACTGCGCAGGCGCCACGGGCCTCCGGCCTCGCTCCGAGCTGACCTGCGGCCCTGTCGGCGGGAAAGAAGCGGCGCAGGCGCAAGAGGGAGGAGGCGGGGCGGCGGGGCTGCGCAGGCGCCGGAGAGGCCGAGGGGGCGGGGCTCCGGGGGCGGCGCTTTCCAGCGTGGCTTCGTTGCCCCGCCTCCTTCTGAGCGGGCGGGGCGGGGAGGAGCGGGTCTCTGAGCTTGTGCAGAGTTTTTCTCTGCTCTCTTCCCAAGGCAGGGCAGGGCTCCCCCGAAAGAGCCCGATCAAATGCAGAGCATTTATTATAGGTATTTATGGTTCCTGTTTATCGGGGTCGGATTTAGGTTGGATGAGGCCCTCAGCTCCTGAAGATAATGGGGGCCCTTTATATGTCCAGCTGTTTTTTGTGCTGAATATATGCTACATGTAATTTATGTATAATAATAATAATAATAATAATAATAATAATAATAATAATAATAATAATATTTGTACCCCGCCCATCTGGCTGGGCCTCCCCAGCCACTCTGGGCGGCCTCCAACAAAGATTAAAAATAGATTAAAATGTCACACATTAAAAACTTCCCTAAACGGGGTTGCCTTCAGATGTCTTCTAAATGTCAGGTAGTTGTTGTTCTCTTTGACATCTGGTGGGAGGGAGTTCCACAGGGCGGGTGCCACCACCGAGAAGGCCCTCTGCCTGGTTCCCTGTAACTTGGCTTCTGGTAGCGAGGGAACCGCCAGAAGGCCCTCAGCGCTGGACCTCAGCGTCTGGGCAGAACGATGGGGGTGGAGACGCTCCTTCAGATATACTGGGCCAAGGCTGTTTAGGGCTTTAAAGGTCAACACCAACACTTCGAATTGTGCTCGGAAACATACTGGGAGCCAATGAAGATCTTTCAGGACCGGTGTTAATGTGGTCTCGGCGGCCGCTCCCTGTCACCAGTCTAGTTGCCGCATTCTGCATTAGTTGTAGTTTCCGGGTCACCTTCGAAGAGCGTATTCAGTAGCCCAAGCGGGAGATAATCAGAGCATGCACCACTCTGGCAAGACAGTCCGCGGGCAGATAGGGTCTCATCCTGCGTACCAGATGGAGCTGGTAGACATCTGCCCTAGACACAGAATTGACCTGCGCCTCCACGGACAGCTGTGAGTCCAGAACGACTCCCAGGATGCACACCTGGTCCTTCAGGGGCACAGTTACCCCATTCAGGACCTAATAGGTATCTCAAGCCATTTGCCACTTTATGTAGGTTTTATTTTACTTGTTTTGTGTCTTATATTTTGGATATGTACATCCAGGGTTTTTTCCTTTAAATTTTATGGGGGCCCCCAAGAGAGTTGGCCTCTAAGCTATATCTTCTTTACAGTATTGTATTTCCATCCCATCTTCCACCGCCAACGGGGTCTAAAGGCGGCTTATGGCTAAAATAAAAAAAGCTAAAAACATTGGCTGAAGGGGGCGAAGATATTTGCATGTTCTAAGCCACGTGTGTCCCATGAGAAAGCCAGAAATCATCATTATCATCATCATCATGATGCCCTGAGGGGTTCATCCAGCCCAGCCTGCCGCTGTTCTCCAGGGGCCACCAGCGGGGTGCCCCACAGACAAGGAGCCCACAAGTGTGACCAGAGTGCAGCCGCCACGCCCTCCCCACATGCAGTTTCCAGCTACGGGCACTTACTACATTTGTTGCACGAATGTTAAGGGGCAGACATAGACACATATTCCACAGTCTATCACCCTTCAAAAATTAGGAAATATCCTCTGGATATAGAGAAACTTTATTTCAGTGTATATTAAACTGAGTTCACTGCGTCTCCTGAGTCTCCTGCTGGACTGCGAGACGCGCTTCCCAACAAGAGCTGCAGGTGGCACTCGTGCTTCTCCCTCCTTGCTTCTCTGGAGGGGCTCCAGCAGGAGAGCGACATTGCCTTGCTGTCAGGTTGCAATATTCAGAAAAGCACAGCTCGAAATGGCTTCAGGATTGCTCTCCTGTACTGTTGGAGACATGTGGCTTGTGTACTTACATGTGTGAGTTCACCTTGTGCTCTTATGAACATTCATTTTAATTTTTGACATATTAGAATTCGCATAACACATAATAGGGACGCGGGTGGCGCTGTGGGTTAAAGCCTCAGCGCCTAGGGCTTGCCAATCGAAAGGTCGGCGGTTCGAATCCCCGCAGCGGGGTGCGCTCCCGTTGTTCGGTCCCAGCGCCTGCCAACCTAGCAGTTCGAAAGCACTCCCGGGTGCAAGTAGATAAATAGGGACCGCTTACTAGCGGAAAGGTAAACGGTGTTTCCGTGTGCGGCTCTGGCTCGCCAGAGCAGCGATGTCACGCTGGCCACGTGACCCGGAAGTGTCTCCGGACAGCGCTGGCCCCCGGCCTCTTGAGTGAGATGGGCGCACAACCCTAGAGCCTGTCAAGACTGGCCCGTACGGGCAGGGGTACCTTTACCTTTACCTTTAACACATAATAGCTTTTTCAGTCTACCAGATTGGCAAAAAAGAGCAGGTGAAAAAATGAAATATATGCCTGTGTGTGTGTGTACATTGCCCACAGCCCCATTGGCAGCCTGCTGAGGAGCACCTTACAAAGGGGGCAAGGACAGCCAGGCTGGAGGAGGCACCTCTGAGCCCTTTCTCAGACAGACAGACAGACAGACAGACAGAGGGAATGGGAGGCCCTGCTCTGTGTCGGGATCTTGCAGACTGGGTAACTGAAAATTGGTCGCTTCTATGTAACCTGTCCAATAAGTGCCAGGAAAATGGCTCATCTCTACCACCTCCTCCAAGCCTGTGCTGCTCCTGCACAGAAATCAATTGCTTTTGTTGTATGTTACAGCAGTTTTTTTGGGGGGGGGACTTTAATAATAAAATAAAAATAGGGGGCAGGGATAGGTAATGCCACCCATGTAAAAAGCCCCATTCCCCCAGACAACATTCAAGTTAATGATAATAATAATCTGACAGGGTTGCTCCAGCTACTCTGGGTGGCTTCCAACAAAAAATAGTAAAAACACATTACAACATTATATTGGTTTTACATCTCTTACTGGGTCATCCCTCAGTTGGGAAAACCCTATCCTGATGGGAAGAAGTTCAGACTCATTCGGATGATGAGGACCTGGTGGCTCCACACCTGAGCCGTTTTACAGACAGAGCTATTGTTTTTGTGTGTGTGTCTCCCCCCACCCCCCACTTTCAGCCACTATTTTACTCCTGTCTGAGGCTGGGGGGAGGCAGTGAGAAATCAGTGCCTTTGGCTTCCCAGATAGCTTACTCACCTTCAGGTCCTTTCCTTCTGTGGTGGTGGAGAGCTTCAACTATCCTAGAGGAGACCAGAGAGGCCGTGACTGAGAGTGTACAGAGAAGCTGGACTTGGAATCTGGGAGACACCGAGAATCACCTCAGGGGGAGACTCACTAACTGGCCTCAGTTACTCATCTGTGAAATGGGAACTTGCATTAAATGCAACTAGATATGCAACTGAAGACAGCTACCTGGCTTCCATCAGAATCCCAGGTTTCCACCCACCCCCCTCTCCTGCCCACACAAATGATGCGCCAGTCACTTTGCTAGCACTACAATTCTGGAGTTTTCACCCGACCTGCTTGCACTCCCCCCAACGTGTTACCCAAAGGTGGCATCATCCTTGGCCACTTTTTTGTTTTCTACCCAGACGCAGGCCCTGAGGGAGAACTAAGTGCTCTGAGCGTCAGGAGCTGGAAAAGCTGAGACAGTGCTGGCAATTAGCGTGGCTTTAACTTTGCTGTAATTAAGGCCAGGGAGATCCTTCAGGGGCCTCATAAAATGTTCCTCTTAGGACGGAACCTCATCTCGGGTCTCCTCCTGCCAAAACCCAATGTGCACATTTTGCAGAAGGAAAGAAAAGTGAAGCTCTTATTTGCTTAGCGGGCCTGTTGCTCACAGCAATCCCTAAAAATAACTCGGCCTTTTTTTAAAAAAAAAAAATGTGGTCGGAGGAAATGGAAAATGAAATGAAATTTTCCCTGCACTTTGTCCAAACGAAGTGAGTGGCTGAGAACAGCTCTGAGATGCTCTTTCTGTTCTTTTGGAGAGAGCCAGAGAGGGGCCAATTGCTCAGTGGTAAAGAAAATGCCCCAGGCAGATAAGAGTTCAAATCCAGCTGCCCTCTTCAGCTTGAAGGCCCTTGGAGTGTAAGTAAGCCCCAAGCAGGGGCTCAAAGAAGGTCCCAGAGACCCCCCTCCATCTTTAGGAGTGGGGAAACCCTGGCCCACGGACCACTCTCGGCATGCCATGGGTCCAGTTTGGCCTGTGAGACCATTTCCCAAACCACGCCCCATCCATCACCAGAAGATGTCAGTAGATGGGCAGGGCCCGATCCTGTCAGGTGCTGCTGTACAAGTGCATCCCCTGCAAGGAACGTACTTGTGAAGGAGAACCCTCCCCGCACCCCATGGGTCAACGTTCACTGACTGGGGCAGGGAGAATGGAACAAAGTCTCATCCCGAGGGCTTAGTGGGCTGGTTGGCAGCCTCAAGAGAGCTCTGCTCAGGACATCCTTTGCTGCAGATTTCCCCAGCGCTCTTGACTGACAGCCACCAAGAGCCCTTCTGCACAGCTGAGATGAAGGCAGGCAGACAATGGTGCCGTTTCCCCAAAGCCAATAGCCCAACCACATCCCTCCTTTCAGGGAAAGTGCAGACACCACTTTCTAAACTAAGAAGCCCATCCCAGATTGGTCTCTGACAAAGCCTTGCTTGGGAGGAAAGCCTTGGGAAAGAAGAAACAGGAAGGAAAAAAAGAAGCTAAGGACTTTTATTCTCTCTTTATTTATCCTAAATAGCCATGACATTAAAAAAAAGAAGTTGATGGGTTTTAAAACAACAGCACAACATTAACAGCTACCTGCAGAGATGGGCTTCAGTTGTAAACCAGGCCCTTGGCCAAGCGTCCAGCCACCAGATTCCTCCAGAGGAGGCAGCCGGGACTTCCTGGACCAAAGCATGGGCAAGCGGGGGCCTCGCACACACGCAGACACACATACAGGCACACTCTCCCCTCTGGAGGCCCAACCAGCACAGTCACCATCCCATTCACACAGCACTCTTTCATCTCTGTGTGTTGACTGCAGAGGCCACAGTCTGCCCTCAGCCCTCTTCTTGCAGATCTCTCGGCTGCCTGCAGGTACAGCAGATGTCGTCAGTCATCAGCATCGTCAGAGATGCTGGACACACTCAGAACTTAGGCACATTCGCTCCACTGCAAAGTTCCGGGAGATTGAGGGGGGGGGGCGAGAGAAGAGGCACATAAACAAAAACAGTAATAATAATATTAATAATATTGCACTTGAAGTAAAAAAACAAAAAAACTCAACAGGCAGTTGAGCAGTGGTCATGCACACAACCTGTCGAGCATCCAGCTAGATGATTTCAATAAATAGGGGAACAGATGACTACTGGAAGCAGTTGGGGGCTGCTTGAGCATTCCTTGGGAGAAGGACGAGACAGAGGAAGAAGAGGAAGAGAGTTCTTTATCGAGAGCAGAGATGCCCAAGTGCCAAAGGGCGATAATTCCCCCAAGTGCTGCCCAAGTCCCTTTGTCAGCAACTCTTTGGAAGGAGGAGCCATCTTTGTCTGCCACCCCACAAGCTCCCTCTGGGTCCAGGCTCAGAAAGTGGCCCCTCTGCAACAGCCCCGGGGCGCAGCAGGGGGAGGGAAGACAGCTCTGAACTTCACAGTGGTCTGGTGGGACCCCCAGCCTTCAGCTCCTGGTCACCATGACGCCGTCGTACCGGAGAGACAAAGCAAGCTCCTGGGGTGGAAGAGAATGAGGAGGCAGAGCTGTCTGACCCCAGGGGTGGGGGGAAGCGCTCTTCCAGAAGGAAGCAGTGGCTTCTTTGTCCAGGCAGGCCTCCGACCAGAAAGGCAGCGGATCACATGTAAACATACACCTCCCGGAAACAAGTCTCCCCTCAGAAGCCGGCCAGGCCGCCTCTACAGCGGAGGGCTGGGCTTCTTCTGGTTGACGAGGTCCAAATACAACTCTGAGCGCAGGAAGCGAGGGTAGGGGTCCTTCTCCATCAGGGCGTAGATCCGCCTCTGGGCAAGGTCAAAGCTGCTCCGGGAGATGCTCTGCATATTGTCCTTGGTGTGCTCCCGGGTGTAGGAGTCCAGGTTGACCTACAAGAGCAGGAGGGAGGAAAGTCCCCGTTCAGTCACTGCAGCTCAAATACAATAGCAGGAGGGCAGATTCAGGAGAGAGGAAAGGAGCTGTTTCTAGAGGAAGAACAACTGTGAGGGGAGAGAGACTTGGGGGGGGGGAGGCAAGTGGAAACAGCTGTGATCAGCACACAAAGTCTCTCCCCCCTCACAGTTCTTCCTGGCCAGGGTGACTATACTTCCATGGTCAGAAACAGCAATTCTTCTGAAGACCAGTTGCTGGAAACCACAGGAGGGGAGAGGGCTCTCGCATTCAAATCCTGCTCAAGGGTTTCCCACAGAAAGATGCTGGACAGGATGGGTGCCCTTTGGCCTCATCCAGCAGGCTCCTATTATGTTGAGGGTGGTTGGGTGGATGGATGGATGGAAGAATGGTCAAGGGGGGGGGCAGCACAGCCCCCTGGGAAGCGTGGCTGATACACCTAGAGATCCTTTCCAGATGCAAAAAGAGCTGGGATTTTCTTTTTAAAATAAGGCAGAGCAGCTGAGGCCAGAGTGCCCCTGGCAGACAGTTTCTTCCCAATACTGCCTGTTCCTGAAAGCTACAAATCCCTGTTCTGAACCTGCAGTGGGCAAAAGGCACTAATGCCCCTTGCCAGCTACTAGATCAAGGGTCAGCAACCTAAGGCCCCTGGGCCAGAAGCAGCCCACAGAGTTCGTTTGACGGGCCCCCGTGCCTCCCCTGAACCGAGCCGCCTGCTCACGCGCTGCGCTAAACCAACGTGGCACAGGGACTTGCTTCTGTGGTGCCAAAAATCACGTCTGTGCATGCGCAGATGCTGAAAATAGCAGGCGCACGTGTGATCCAGCCCATAGAGGGATCTCCGTGGGACTGATCCGGCCCAGGCAAGAAAAACCTTGCTGGCCCCTGTACTAGATTGTCTCCCCCTCTGCCAAGCAGCTGACCAGCCAGCAGACCTTCTCCTAGCAGTCATTATCTGCTCCATGGACTTAAACAGAAGCCATTCCCTTCTCCAAATGGAAACTCTGGTCAGGCAGGGAGAACATGTCCAGGCTCTCCAACACAATCCCCGGGAAAGTTCCCAAACTCTTTGCAGGGCAGCCAGGACAGAGAAACCGGCATAAACTGGGAATTTAACGAGACTGGGCTATAACAACTGGGCTTTGCCCTGCTCACCTCAGAGCTGTTTCTCTAAGAGTCTTCACAGGCCCCTCAGAGGTGATAGCAAATTTTGGGGGAGGAGAGCGTTTCTAGGCAGTTTTCCTTGCACAAACCTAGACCTGGGTTGCTCCCCTCCAGCTGTAAACATTGCCCATATACAGGTTTCAGTTAAACACGTGTCCATGTATCTTAGGTCGGGTAGCCTAGTACTTTGGCGTTGTCTTAAGCCTGTTCATCAGCCGGACGCAAGATAAGCATTGAGCTGCAAAATCTCAAGGCTGAGTTTCAAAATCCTTCCTCCAGGTGTCCATTTCACCCGAGACCTTGGCAGAGCCTCTTGGTCTGCGTTGCACCTTGGCACAGCCAACGCCAACAGGCCTTGGATTGCCAACCCCCCACCCCCTGGGCAACGGAAGCCAGCTAGCCACTCGGCCACTCACTCACTTCTTTGCAGGACTGGGTTGCAATGTATTCCGCATAGATCTTCTTGGCTTTGGACACCATCTTGGACTGGGACTTGATCTTCTTGTAGTCCTCACATGCCTGCCAGAACTCCAGGTTCTCCTCACTGAACTCAGTGCGCAGGAAGGCACGAAAGGCGGCCAGACCATCTGCAGAGGGAGAAAGCAGCCTTGAGGGCTGAGGGCAGGAACCAGCAGCCTTCCCCTTCTGGCCCCTTCCTCTTAAGCAGGCGTCCCCAAACTCGGTCCTCCAGATGTTTTGGGACTACAATTCCCATCATCTCTGACCACTGGTCCTGTTAGCTAGGGATGATGGGAGCTGTAGTCCCAAAACATCTGGAGGGCTGAGTTTGGGCATGCCTGCTCTTAAGGAAATAGGGAAGGGCAACTCTTGGGATGCATAGCCAGAAGTGGTTTGCCTCTAAAGACCAGACACGCAGGGGATGAAGGCAAGGGCCAAAGGCACCTGGCTGGCACACAAATTACTGAACTCAATGGACCTTGGGTCTAAACCAGCAAGCCTCTTCTGAGGTGGCACAGCAGGCTGAACCAGGCCTGCCTCCCCCAGCAGCGCATTTCAGGCACCAGAAGGGTAAAATGTGAGAGTCCTGTAGGTGCAACCATTTCCTAACACCAAACAGCAGATCCACAATCCAAGGATGGCAGAGAGAAAGGTTCCCCACAAACTGCAACATGCCCAGCTTGGAAAAGAATCTCAGAGGGCAGAAACTGTCCAAAGCCTCTCTCTGGCCAAGACTGTGGGAGCATCACTGCCAGCCAAGAGAAGGAGATCATGCGTCAGACGAGCCAGTGGGCTCTGCCTCTGTGCCAGGCAACACCAGTGGGATTCCACTGGCCGAGCAGCTGTGGGTAGAGCAATCTGGGGGTGAAAGCAGCCAATGGGGAGTGGAGGAGCATCACCCTCAGAGTTACACAAAGACACACACACCCTGCCAAGCCTTGGATGCTGTTATCTCCACAGTGCTTTAAAAACGTCAGAGAAAGGGAGGGTTGAATTGCAGGTACCACTTAAAAACAAGATTTTGCACATATCTGAGAGTCACAGATGTTTCAGGAGTTTGGGTTCTGTGTCTCTGAAACTGAAGTGATTCTCAAAAGCTAGAAATGGCAAATTTCCTCCCGCCTTACATTTATGCTGAAGCAGTTTTTCCAGGGCCTCTCCCCACTTGAGAGCTTCTTCAGGAGTCGGCCTGAGGAGAAGGAGAAAATGAGGGGAGGAGTCACTTGGCAGGAAAGAGAAGCTGCAAGGCAGGGAAAAGGGAAACCCCTTCCCCCAGAGGATTAAGCCCCGCCCCAACTGGAGTAAATTAAAATTTTAAGGCAAAGGCTGCTTGATTAACCTACATGAAAGCGGCTTGCATTTTGATTCTGCCTTACTAAACAACACCCCCCCATTCCCAAAACACAGACATTGTTGGACTCCCTCTTACTATACTGTAATAGCCAACATTCATTTTTCAAGATGCAGCCTTCCAAGCTTTACACCAATTAATGGATTTCAAAAAACAAGGCTAAAACCTGCAATTGTCTGGAAATCCTACACACGCTTTAAAAAAGATTTCTTGCAAAGAAAAATTGGGAAATACAGATTTTTGCATTTGTTCAAAATGTGTTTAAGCACCAATCCTCTTGTGTGTGCAGGGATGCCCGTCACATCCCTCTCAGACCCTCTCCAGTCTAAAGATGCTGGAAATCCACCCAGGATATGACTGCTACAAATGGAAGAGCAGGATGGGGTCAGAAGAGGAGAAAAAGCTCCAGGAACCTTCTCCATCTGGGACCTCAAGGGCAGCTTCTGCTTTTGGTGGGTGAAGTTCTGCGCTGGGAAGAGAAACTCAGAGACCATGTCCCAGCCTGGCTTCACCTCTGCGGATCTGGGACCACCCCTCAAGCCTGTTCTCACCTAGCACCCCCCTTCCTTACTTGAGGGTCTTGAGGGCTTTGTCCGCCTTGCAGGCTGGAGGGCCTCCAGGAGACTCGTTCCGCCTTCGGAAGATCCCCAGCCGGGTCTTCATGTCTTTGGCCCTGGAGATGTAAAGCAGAAGGGGCAGCGGGGTTAGCGAGGCTGCGGGGAATCAAAGGAACAAGCCCCGCGATCGAGGGTCGCTTCCCAACCCAGCCCGGCCCCTCTCCTTTGTCCTCAAGGGCAGGGAGGAGGGGTCCGGGCGCCCTGCTAAGGAACAAAGCCGCAAACCCCGACAAGGAATCCAACCCTCCCCAGTCTTCCGAGCGAGCACACCGCCCTCCGCGTAAGCTCAGAGGCTTCCCCGCCAGGGCCAAGAGTGCCCCTGAGCACGCACAAAGGGCGCGCACTCCTTCAGGAGCCGCCGGGGGTGTCCCACGTACTCCTTCAAGGTGTGTCTCCGCTGCAGGCTGAGCGTGACGCCGCCTCTTCCCCGGGAGCCCCGCAGGATCTCCGCGTGGAGCTCCACCGCCTGGGCCGCCTCGCGGGAGAAGGGCATGGCCGGGCGCTCCGGGGGACAGCCGCGTCTGCAGCCGGCCGGCCGGCCCCGCCAGGCCCCTCGGAAGGGGAGCGGCTGCACGTGCGAGGGCCGCCCAGGGGATCCTATTTCGGGCCGGGGCGGGGCGAGGCTATTTATAGAGATCCTGGCGCGCCGAGGGTTAAACGGGGGGAGGAAGTTACAGATGGGTAGCCGTGTTGGTCTGCCATAGTCAAAATAAAAAAATCCTTCCTGTAGCACCTTAAAGACCAACTAAGTTAGTTCTTGGTATAAGCTTTCGTGTGCATGCACACTTCTTCAGATACACTGTATCTGAAGAAGTGTGCATGCACACGAAAGCTTATACCAAGAACTAACTTAGTTGGTCTTTAAGGTGCTACAGGAAGGATTTTTTTATTTTGACGGGGGGAGGAAGGCAGGGAAATGTCAATCAAGGGAAGGTCGCGGCTTCCTTGGCGACCTTTGTGCCAAGTCTGGGCGCCCTCTTGACGGGGGGAGCGGAGAGGCTGGGACCCCCGCAGCCCAGAGCCTTCCCAAAGCCTGCTCTCCCTTTTCTTTACGGGCCAGATCCACACTACACGCTCGAAGCATCCCCCGTGCGCATCCCAGAGCGATCCCGGCGGGAGCTGCAGTTTGGCCCCCTTTCCAGCACCCATCACAAGGGACAGCCGCAAGAAGGGCAGTCAAAGGCGCCTTGGATGAGCTCGGAGAGGGCAGTGCGGACGGGCCCTTTCCCCGCAGACTCCGGGACGGAACCGCGCCTCCCCTGCTCCGAATGGATTTCGTGGGCAGCCCGCGATGGTCGCCCTTCGCCCGGATTGGGTCGCGGGGAGGTTAACGACCGTATTGGCAAGGCAAGGGGTAGCCCACCCTCCCAAAGGGGCAGCTTTCTCGCAAGAAGCACCATCCCTTTTTGGCCTCCCATCCAACCTGAAGTTACCTCTACGTGCATGAATGACAAGGGTCAAATGGGTCGCCCTTGAGACGCAGCGGATGTACAGATTAAGCGTCATACCCGCACCTCCCCAATCACCTTACTCTAATTGAAAGTGAACCCCCCCCACTTTATTGATTGATTGATTGATTGATTGATTGATTGCTGATCTCCCCACGTCCTTTTCAGACCCGGGTCTTTTGGAGAGGTGGGCCCGGGGGGCTCGTCTCACCCCCAAAACTATTTCAAGAGTCCAGCTCTGAGGATTTGCGCCCAGGCCACCCGTGGCCCCCAACTCCGTTTTCAATGGCTGGAATGCCAGCGAGCCAACAACGTGGGGCATCGGTGAGAGCGCTCCTGAGCAAATGCAGAGTGCAGATTTAGAAGGGCGTCCTACGCGCCTGTTTCAAAATAATATTTCCCGGTACTTTTAAAATAAAGCCGAATGCCCTCCTGCTATTCGCGAGGAAGCCGCGTCTCCTGCTGCCTCCCTCACCTCTCCAGGTACCATTCGGCCACCCCCCGCGCGGAGGGATGCATCTGGATGCGCGGAGGCCTCAAAGGGAGCTGGGGCCCCCCGCCCTTTCCCTCCCCGGACCCTCGGGCTGAGAAAGGGGCGCCGGATCCTGCCCTCCGCCGCGTCTCCACTAGTGCGCCGACAGCGACACCCCGCGGCGGCGCCTCGCAACGACGCTTCCCCACGCTCGAGCATGCGCAGCGGGACTCCTGAAGCCCTCCCCGTGCCCTCCGCCTTGCCCGCATCTGCAGAGGAGGAGGAGGAGGGGTTGATTTAGATGCCCCGCCCCACTTCTTCAGGGCCAGAGTGCAAGGCGGGCTTCAAGCGGTCCTGGGTTCAGATCCCCTCTTTGGGCTAGAAGACCCCAGTTGCCGTCTTGGTCCGTTCTATCTCTCGCGTAAAAATGAAACAAATGAGAGATGGCTGCAACGAATGAGCAGCAACCCAGTGCTGATTACTCAAGAGTAGCACCCGGGAACAAAGATGGTGCTTCAGTTACGATTCCTGCATTGCAGCGGGTTGGGCTAGATGACCCTTGAGACCCCTCCCAGCTCTACCATTCTTGGATTGCATGAAGAGGATGTGGCCAGGAGGGGAAATCCCCATACGGACCCAGAGGCTGTCCGTCTGCCTTGCCCATCTCTCCCCTTTGGGGAAAGTGTGCAGTGCCTTTGCGCTAAGCAGAGCTCTTGCTTCTGCTTAGGGGGCAGAGTACTTCTGAGCATGTGGCATGTGCCCTCTCGGGACAGACATGAAGCAGCTTCTTTGGAAAGAAGAGGCACAACAGGGTCGTGCTGGAATTAGGAAGGGGCCCGAGGGAGTCACGTTCATCAGTTTCAATGAGTCTCCTCTGAGTAGACACTGATGCTGAATACGGCCAGGTGTGGTTTCAGGCAAAATGCATAGAGGAGTGGGGGGTGGAGGGGATCCACCAGCACTGATTTGAACTGTAATGGCTCAGCTGAAGCTCTGTGGTTCAGAGACATAAATGCTGCACTGGGCGGCAGCAGCAGCAAAGGCCCGTCCTGCTCCCATGCCCTCTTTTGGGAAAGGTGTGTGGGGGGGTCTGGCTGTTGTCCATGGTGAGAGGTGGGATGCCAGCCAGGATGGACCCACTTTGGCTTGATTTAGCTGCCCGCCTTTTAGCCACACCTGGGTATGAACCCTCCATGTTCAGAGGCAGTCTTCCTCAACTGTGCCAGGCCCTGGCGAGGGCAGCTAGGGCACGCCTGGGGTACTTGTGGCCTTCCTGCCGGGGCAACGTGCTGAGCCCCCTTTGGTCTGACCCAGCTCTTCGTGAGGCATTTGCTGAGGACACCCCGTTCTCTTAGAAAGTAAAGAAGTGGTAAATGCACCAACACCCACCCACTCCTTTTCTAGGTTTGCATTCTCCTGGTCCAGCAATGGGCAAGGGGGGTGGAATTCAGGGGAGGACAGCTGACCCTGCTTCTGACTTTGCACACAGGCTGCCCAGCACCCAGGGTCTCATTCTGTACCAGGCTACTTGAAGCAGGCGTGGGGACTGGTGTGGATGGCCTGCAAACTGCCTCCTCTGGCTGCTGCGGCTGGCAGAAGAAGCCCCCACACAAGGGGCTTCTGAGCACGAGCAGAGCACTTTCCCTTCAGGAGCGAGCAAGCAAGCCCCACCCATGAGCATGCAATTAGCCCTGGAACATGTGAGGAATAATCGGAGGATACCTTGAGTGTGCAGAAAGTGACCCCATCCCACCCCAGCTCCATGGAAAGGAACAGTAAAAGAAATACAGTGGTGCCTCGCAAGATGAAATTAATCCATTCCGTGAGTCTCTTCGTCTTGCGTTTTTTTCGTCTTGCGAAGCACGGCTATTAGCGGCTTAGCGGCTATTAACGGCTTAGCGGCTTTAAGAAAAAGGAAACAAACTCGCAAGAACTCGCAAGACGTTTCGTCTTGCGAAGCAAGCCCATAGGGAAATTCATCTTTCGGAACGACTCAAAAAACGGAAAACCCTTTCGTCTAGCGAGTTTTTCGTCTTGTGAGGCATTCGTCTTGCGGGGCACCACTGTAACCATTTGCATCTCACTCCCCAATAACTAGAGAGTCCACTCAAAGGAGCCCACCACAGCTTGGGATCTGGGTTTCCAGGGTCACATCCATATCATGTAATTAAAGCATTCTTATTAACACCCCCCACCACCACCACACACAAAGAATCCTGGGAATTGTAGTGTGCTAAGGTTCTCCTAACAACTCTTGGCACCAAACTACAGTTCCCAGGAATCTTCACGCAGGGGTGTGTGCCTGTTTCAAGTGGCACACGAGGTCTTTACCTGCCTGGTGTGGGGCCTCCCCAACTCCAGGCAGGGACTCTGGGTCTGGCTCCAGCCCCCTCCCGAGATGGGTTCCCTCCCCTCCCTCGACTTACAGGTTCCTGTTTGTCTTCTTGCAGGCCCCTCGAGAAGAAACTCCTCGGTCAAGGGCCCAGTCGGGGTCCAGCAGGTGCCCATGTTGCTGCTGCTGCTGCAGGGGAGAGAAGCACAGGGATGAGATGGGACAGGGTGGGGGGTAAGCAGAAGCCCCTGGGGAGTGACACGCCCCTTGAAGGCAGGCTGCAGCTGAGGGGAGCCACCCTGGAATCCTTCTGCCACCTCCAAAGACTAAGGGCTGAGCCCTGAACCCCTTGCCATGGGGTATCTCTGCTCCCTGCTCTGTCCCTCCTCTTCCTGCTTCTCTAACTATAACCACAACACAAAAACCAAATCACTGCAAGCTTTTCTTTGAAATGGTCTTCTCCCTTAATTTCTCTCCACTTTATAAAGCACAGCAAGTCCTTTTACTCAAAGGGAATGAAATTCTTACTAATTGCTCACTTAGAAAGAGCACCATTTTTAAATAGGGCGTTTTGCTGCATTTATGCTCCTGCTGTTCTGCAATCATTTCCTGCAACACCGCTCCCTCCACGTTTTATGGCTGCGGCAAAAGTTGTGACAATGTACAAAATGTACAAAATGCAATAGAAACAGAAGCTTTTCTGGATGAATTAAACATTTGCACCCAAATCAACACTTTCCAGCTCCAATAAGTAGCAGTAACCAAAATCACCATTCATTGAACATACTGAAATAGGAGGCAGCCCAATTCTGTATTATTAATTTTCCCATTTATTATTTATACCCCGCCCATCTGTCTGGGTAGGTGTTCATCCCAGAAGCAAGCCCCACTGTATCCAACACTGGGTTGTAACCTGGGAAGAATATAAATCCTCACTTTTTGCGCGCTCAGCTCAGGAGGAGAATTTGCTGAGGGATTTCTCTCTTTTGGTCACTTGCCTCCCTCCCCCCACCCTTCGCTTTCCGCTCACCCGTGGGAATGGGCTCCCCAGCCAAGGAGCCGGAGGGTCCCGCAGCTTCCTTCCCCCGCTAGGTGAGGCTTCCGGAGATTATTGGCCTGGCCGTCTCCCTCCCTGGCAGAGACGCTCCAAGAGGCAGCCTGCCCCAAAGATATTTCCTCCCATTGTTGGAAGGGGAGAAAGGGAGAGACTCTGCTTCCACGTAGAGGCAGGAAGGCAGGCGGGAGCAGCCGAGCACTTGGGGGCCCATCTTCCTCTTGCTGCTGCCCCACAGAAAGGGGGCAAGCCCTCGCCAGCACAGGGGGAGCTTCCAACCAGGCTGTGCGCTGCTGCGCACACTCCCATTTGCTCTGCTTTGGGAAGCTGTGTGCAAACTGCAGTCCATTATCTACCCTGCGCGTCTATGTGTTGTTCCCCAACCCACACACGACCCAGTTTAAATCCAAACTGAGAAGAACGATTTAGCAGTGGCTGTAGACATATTAGTGGCTTGAAATGCAGCCGGGTCCTTCTTTTTATCTAGTCAGTTTCAGAATTGTGCAGTTTACACACACACACACACACACAGAGAGAGAGAGAGAGAGAGAGAGAGAACCCCAGCCAGCTGGGGGAGAAGGGACAAAGAAAACAATGGAGCAAGTTTGCTTTCTGCTGCTCTGGTGGGTAGGATCCAATACAATGGACTCTATTTACACGAAAGGAGAGTCCGACTAAACATGAGGAATAGCTTTCTGACAGTAAGAGCTGTTTGACAGTGGAAGGTCTGCCTTGGGAGGCTGTGATATGCAGGCAGGTATGTGGAACTGCAAAACAAACTTCCAGCAAAGCCAGCATTTAATGCATATTCCACAGTGGGCAAAACAGTCCCTTTTTATGTCTGAAACATACCTTTTTCAATCTACCAGATTTGCAAAAAAGAGCAGGTGGGAAAATAAAATATATACCTGTGTGTATATGCATTGCCCACAGCTTCACTGGCAGCCTGCTGAGCTAAAACTGGAGGAGGCACCTCTGAGCCCTTTCTCAAACACGACAGACAGACAGACAGACAGACAGACAAACAGACAGAGAGAGGGAATGGGAGGCCCTGCTTTGAAATTAAAACAACAACAACCCATAAACATGACAGAAACAAAATAGGAGGCTGGGGATAGGTGGTACTACCCATGTAAACCCACTCCAAGGCAACATTCAATTTTATATTGATTTTAATTCCCTTACTGGATTATCCCTCAGCTGGGAAAACCAAATCTTGATGGGAAAACATTCAAGCTGACAGCTGCATGACGAGGACCTGGTGTGGAAAACCCCGCCACCCACCCCTCAAAAAATTGAGGCAGAAGCAGCTTCTAATCCACATTGAGCTTCCTCCCTGTGTAGACAAGCCCCTTCTGGTCTCTCCCTGCAAGGAAGGGCTGATCTGGAATGCCCAAAGCCATCCTGGAAATGACCGCCAGGAGGCAGCCAAGACACAGCATGAGCCCAGCCTGGCAGTATGGGAAACTCTTGGCTTGAGAATTACCATAGATTCCGGCATATTAGGCGACTGGGCGTATAAGTCAACCCCCCAAATTGTCTTATACGCAGCAGCTTCGCTGGGCAGCGGCAGTAGGCGGCGGGCTCCACTCCGCGCCGGGAGGAAGCTGCCCAGCGAAGCCGGCTTAGCATCGCTGGGCAGCTTCCTCCCGGCACGGAGCGGAGCCCACCGCCCACTGCCGCTGCCCAGTGAACCCATACCCGGCGTATAAGACGACCCCCGACTTTTTAGAGGATTTTCCGGGGTTAAAAAGTCGCTTATACGTCGGAATCTACGTTAAGGAGGAAGGGGTTTTTTGGTAACCAGGTGGGCAGGAGCTGCTGCTGAGGACCAGAGGTGTAGCAAGGTCAGGTGGTGCCCAGTGCGGGGAAAAAATTGTCACCCCCCCCCCGCGAGTCCCAAGCCACCGCTTTGCCATTGCAGCTGCTGCTCGCTGTAGCCTTGGGAGTCGTGGGCGGGGGGCGTGCCGAGTGTCACCCCCCCCCAGGATGACACCCAGTGTGGTCTGCACCCACCGCACCCCCTTGCTCCACCCCTGCTGAGGACCAGGAGTTTTGCAACTGCCTCTTTCCGGTTGAAGGTCAAGGAGCAGAGAAGGGTCACCGTAAGATCCCCTTGCCTGCAGTCTAAGCAGCTGAGAGCAGATCTGCCTTCATGACCTCTGGAGGAACCTCCTCCCTCCACCCCCTGCCACCTGGCCAAGGCCTCCAGGTAGTCCCCAGCCAAGCAAGCCATCATGCCAACATAAATCAAGGAAACAGGGAGCGGCTTATAGTGAGCCAGGCCATTGGTCCATCTTGCTCAGTATTGTCTACACTGACTGGCAGCAACGGCTCTTCCAACTTTGCCTGGAGATGCCAATGAGGATTGAACCTGGGACCTTCTGCATGCTTGGCAGATGGTCTACCCTTGAGCAAAGGCCCTGCCCCTGCTGCTGCTCCCTAGCCAACGGCATCCAGAGGCAGACTGCCTTTCAGTGTGGGAGTTCCATTGAGCTAACAATTGCTCACAGTGCTTACAACTGGATCCTTCCGGGGGTGGGGTGGAGGGTGGAGTTAGATCTTCTCCAGATTCCCTGCTTCACCCACTAGCCAACCAGATGTGGGGGCCGTTGTCCTCTCCCCTGGGTGCCCACCAGCAACTGGAGCTGAGGGGACCTTTGGTCTAGGTGGGTCTAATCTAGGAAACTTTGCTTTACGTCCTAGTTCTAATCGTGGATTTGCTGGCTTTTGGTAAGCCGCCCTCTCAGCCTCAGCCTCTCTGTCTGTGAAAGGGAGAACGTGGTGACTTGTCCTTGAGGATGATAGAGAAAGATTGCAGAAAGCATTCTGAGGTTTTGAAAGCGGGGTCAAAAACTGCAAACAGCATCCTTATGAAACAGACTGGGAAACGGCTGTTCCTTTTTGTCCACCATGATGCCTTGGAATGTAAACAAACATCCTGTAAGCAAAAGGAGGTTGGTGGTGGTTGCCAAGCCTCTCCAGCAACACACCCCACTGCCACATTCCCAACCAACAGTTTGTGCAAAAGGCTGAAAGAAAGCGGCCTCCTGGCCAATACGCCTCTCCTCCCATGTCCCAGGTGGAGTTGCTGCTGCAGTGCACAGTGGGGGGGGGGGGGAATGTTGCCCACCCAAATGAAAAATTAAAAGAAGAGAAAATCCTATTTGGCGAAGAGGCCGCTTTTTGGGGGGAGGAAGAGGGAGAGAAGAAAATTATCTCCAAAGAAATACTTTTCTAAGGACTTGTTTGCATTTCTCCGCTTGTATGTGCTGCCAAGCCTCCTGTCTCCCACGGAGAGCAGAAGTCGGCTTCTCGCTGCCTCTTAAGAGGTCACCCAGGGGTGAAGCATGTGCTCACACACATGCATCTTGGGCAAGCCAATGATAAGAGCCCCCACCAGGAATTCAGGACTAGGCAGCCTCAGCCCTGCAGCTGCCATCAAGCCAGGCTTCCTGCAGCTAATCAGGTTAGATACAGACCAGTTCCTGGCTGAAGGCTCCAAGGAGGCTGAGCTGCAACAGGTGGACCAACCACCAAACAGCAGCAGCAATAATGGACAAAGCGCAGAAGAAGCTCACAGCAGCAGCAGCATATAGCTTCCCTGCCCACCAGCATCCTGGGCAGAAGTAGAGCATTGCTCAGTTTGACTTCTCCAGGGTTATGGGCGCAACAAGGCCACAGGACATCTGGTGCCCCACCACTACTGAGAAGGTCCTCTGCTTGGTTCCCTGTAACTTCACGTCTCGCAGTGAGGGAACCAGCAGAAGGCTCTCAGCGCTGAACCTCAGTGTCCGGGCTGAACGATGGGGGTGGAGATGCTCCTTCACATATGCAGAGCTGAGGCCATATAGGGCACCAAAGGGCAGCACCAACACTTTGAATTGTGCTCGGAAACATACTGAGAGCCAATGTAGGTCTTTCAGGACTAGTGTTACATGGTCCCGATGACAGGTCCCAGTCGTCAGTCTAGCTGCTGCATTCTGTTATTAGTTGTAGTTTCTAAGTCACCTTCAAAGGTAGCACCACATAGAGCACATTGCAGTAGTCCAAGCGGGAGATAACCAGAGCGTGCACCACTCTGGTGAGACAGTGCGCAGGCAGGTAGGGTCTCAGCCAGCATAGCAGATGGAGCTGGTAGACAGCTGCCCTGGGCACAGAACTGACCTGTGCCTCCAGGGACAGCTGTGAGTCCAGAATGACTCCCAGGCTGCGCACCTGGTTTATGGGTGCTCCTGGTGCTTGGAGATGGCTGCAGAGAAGGCTGTCTTGGCTGGAAGCTGCATGTGACCTTAGGGCTCTTTAGGTCTGAGCAACACAAGGACTGAACCCAAATGTGCCAGTTATTGGCCTTCCCTGGGAAAGGAATTGCATCTGGAGGGCAGAAAGATGCCTTTCTTCTCTGTCTTAAGGACTAGAAGCATTTAAAAAAGATAATAGGTTATCAGAATGCTGAACTCTCACTTGGTTAGCTTTCTTTCAGCAAATGAGCCATGAAAGGACAGCAATGAAGAAGGTGGCCTGAGGCAACAGCATCCTCCTTAGCAGGAGCCAGAACCACCCCAACCCTAGAGGTGGTATAGGCAGCGGCTGGGGGCGTCAGACTACCCCAGAACCCACTGCCTGCCTTTTGGGGGAAAACACCTTCTATCCCCATGCCAAGCGCCCCCCCTGTCCCCCAGATTCCCCGCAGGCGATCCCTCTGTGCGCCCTACCTTCCGGTTCCCGACGAAGAGCAGGGTGAGCTGGTGGATGGAGCCCCCGTTCCTGGCCAGCTCCTTCTTGAGTGTCTGGGGGGATGGCAATGTCCAGCTGGTGCCTGGGCCCTGGGCCTCGGCGTAGTTGAGGCTGGTGTCGGAGGTGAAGCAGTGCCCGCCCCGCGGATCCTGCAGGAGGCTCCCCTCGCTGTGGGTGCGCCGCCGTAGTGAGTTCTGGGCACTCAGGCTGCAGGCTGGTGGCTCGCCGGCTGAGGCTTCAAACATGCTGCAGCGCTTCACCTCCCCTCTGCTCAGGTAGGCCTCGTGGCTGTCCTCATCCTCTTCATCCTCCTCATCTTCGTCTTCCTCCTCCTCCTCTTCCTCCTCCTCCTCTTCTTCTTCCTCCTCCTCCTCAAAGTCCGCTGGGCCATCAAGATCAAATGTGGCGATGGCTGCCGTGTCCTCCAGCCGCAGCTTGGGGATGGCAAAGACTGGGGGGCTGAGATGGGTCTCTTTGGTCCCTTCCTCCTCCTCCTCCTTGTGCTTCCCAGGGCTGGGGGCCCCCTTCTCCCTGGATCCTGTTGTTGGGGGGTCCTGGGCCACTGCCATTGTCTCCTCCACCAAGTCCTCCCTCGTGGCGTGGGCCGTGGGACTTGTTCTGTCCTCCCTTGTGGAGGGCAAGGCCCCTGGCGCTGCAGCCTCTGGCTCAAGCATCTGGGGGAGGGGAAGAAGTAGAGAGGGGGAAAGGGTCAGCCACATGCTGGGGGTAGTGCAGGCACGGGGGGGGGGGCAGAGGGGCTCAGGTCTAAAAGTGCAGCAGCAGGAAAATGGATTGCTCCATTGCAGATGCTTGGGTTGAGATTCCTGCATTGCAGGGGGTCTACAATTCTGTGAAGAAGAGGGGCTTGGCATGCCTGGAGACCCACACTTGTGACCCCCCGAGAGGTGTCCATTTCCTTCAAAGGGTCCAGGGAAAGCTGCAGTTTGGGAAGGGAGCAAACCTCTTCTGTCCTAGAGACCACCTACAGAACTAGGATCACCCAGCCCACCCCAAGTCCCAGCACATTTGGGAAGTGGAGAGAGAAAAACCTGTCATTGCTTGCCATGTGTTCTGCTGGATTGGGACCCAAGATCCTTTACAAAGGGGGAAAGGATACCAATCTATAAGAAAGCCACCTTAGGCCAAGTCAGACTGCTTGTCTCTTTCCCACTTCTCTGCCAGAGGCCCATCCTCATCACTTGCTGCTACCTGAGAGCCCTTCTTCACCAGAGGCTCCTGCGGGTGGGGTGGGGCCCTCTGGCTGTGGTCAGTCCAAGACATGTGCAGACCTTTGCTTGGGTTTCCCACAGTCCTTGGGGGAGGCTGCACAAGAGCATTTTACAAACCCTCTTTGGAGGGATGGCTGCCCCACCAGGAAAAGGCCCAACAGGAATGAAGAAGTGCCTTTGGATTGGGAAATATTGGGGGGGGGATTACATTAAATTCCTTGCAAATTCAGACACAGGGTCTGAAGAGCTAAAGATGTGCCTGAGATCTTCCTGAGAAGATCAGGAGCCGCAGTCTCTGCCTTGGAGGGGTCTCCTCGGATGCAAGTTCCAGAAACAAAACAAAGATCTGCCCTTGACCGACAGGCAGGTAGGTCCACCTAACTCCACTCTGCCTTCACTGACTGGCAGCTGCTCTTTCTTTCCCAGCCCTGCCCAGCTGGGATCTGGCTCCTCCTGCATGCAAAAGGGATGCTCCCAAAATGTGTTACAGCCTTTTCAGTTGCATATGGGAAACTGGGACAGGCCTATCCCTGCCCCCCTTAGCCTAGACATGTGCAGAGTAGGTGTGGCCACTCTCCAGGCGGTCAGTCTGCAGGCCTGGAAGCAGCTCCCCTGAAGAGAAGAGCAGCCCCAAAGATGGGTCAGCCTGAGAGGCCATCTTGGTGTCCAGCAGAAGTATCCAACAGCCACTAGCCAGGCACCTTCAGGAATCTCACAAGCAGGGCACTAGGCAACCATCACCCCACTCCCAGTTATCTGTCCCCAGGGCCTAGGACTCAGAAGTAGACTGTCTCTGGAGATGGACGCTCCATTCTATACTGGTTAGCAACTAGTGATGCAAGAATGGTCTAATCCTCTTTTCAGCCTGGCAGCCATGTGTGGGGTCGGCTGTTGTTGCCTGGCTGGAAGAAGCGGCCAGCAGCTTCTCTGCCTCCCCCACTCCTCAGCCAAGGGCCGATCCTTCTGTAATTCAATCAGGTTGGCCTGCTCCTTGCTTGCCCAGCCCTGACGTCAGCGCAACCAGCTTAAACAAACATAGGCTGCCTGCTCTCACAGCACCACTGTCAGCAGCCATGACAGAAATTCTTCCAGGCCACGCATCATGACTGGGAGCTGCTCTACCGACCAGAGCCACTTATGAGACCCAGCAAGCAGCAGGAGTGGCACTTGCAGGAGCCAGGAGAGCTTCCTGGGCCAGAGAGAAAGGGCACCTCTGCAACTGGACCCCGGAAGCCTCGTGCCTGCACAGAAGGAGCCTCCGCCCGCTTGCTCTTCAGGGTCAAAGGAGGGTGCTCTGGGGAAACACACTGCCAACGGGCAAACACCAGGCACCCTATTGGACAGGCAAATCTTGGCTTGGCTAGTAATTTTTGACCAACAACAATTCCCCCCTCCCCAAATATCTTCTGGCAGATGCTGAGGGTGTACAGAAGCTAAGAAAAAGCAGGAGCTATTCCTGAAGTTTCTGCACTCTCCCTAAACTTAGGGACCCTTCAAAACACTTTGTCCCCCCTGACTCCTTCCTCGGGAGAGATTGGGGAGGAAGATGGAGATGGAGAAAAAAAGGGAAGTGTCTGAGGGAATCTCTCCTTGCTGCTTTCCCTCTTCCCTTGGCTTCTCCGGGTTTCTCCAAACAGCCACACAAAGGAGCATTCTGGAAAGGGGTGTGGGGTCAGGATCTTGCCAGGTGGCAAAGAGTCACTTGCCCTGGCTGAGCAAGGAAGTTGATTTGCAGGTGCACACATCAGGTGATAGTGTGCCTTTCGCAGGCAGAAAGCCAAGCGGAGCAGTGGTGGAATACAACAAGGGGTGCCTGACGTGCACTTAGCAAAAGAAAAACTGGACTCTCATGTGTAACCTAAGCTGTAAGACCAGCTGCCAAGTCCTGAAACTAGCCCGGATGGTGGGGGCTTTGGCCCAGAAGAAAAAGCTAAGCAGGGTCCAGGATTGTTTTCAAATTGGACATGAGACTGCATGCAAATCCCTGGATTGCAGGGGGTTGGAGTTGATGACCCCCAGGGTTCCTTCCAACTCTACAATTCTATGATTCCAAGGGAGGATCAGCTGTCCCTGCCTAACATTCCCTCTCCACAGCAGCTCTTTAAGGGATGGAGCCCAGAAATCATTTGGGGCACCCAGGCAACTCCACCAGCAGAGAGGCAATGGTGGTGGGGGATCCCCTGGGCTGGGCTTACTGAGGGAGGAGCATCAAGGCACTCTGCATGCAGGGGATCCCTGGGTTCAAATCCTGGTAGCAACTCTGGTTTAAAAGGAGCAGGCAGCAAGTACTGATGGAAGAAAGACACACACACGCACACACACACACACCCCGCCTCAGACCCTGGAAAGTCTCCCACCAGCAGAGTAGGGAACATTGGGCTAATCTGCCCCTGGTTCCTGAATGTTAAATAGACAAACACACACAACACAAATAAAATCCCCTAAGCCAGGCAGCCCAGAGTGTTCGTTAAATAACATCAACATACTCAAACATTAGGGCAATGTGGCCAAGTGCTTCCTTTCATCAATTTACATTTTTATATCCTACTTTTAAAACTGCTTCTCAAAGTGGTGCATCTCTCAGATGAAATGCTGGAGGCTCTGAGGGCATCAACTCCCCTGCCTTGCATAGGGAAGTTTTTAATGTTTGGTGTACTGTATCTTAATTTGATGGAAGCTGCCCAGAGTGGCTGGGGGTAACCCAGTCAGATGGATAGCATATAGTAAGTTATTGTAATTGTTATTATTCAGCAGCACTTCAGAAGGACACAATAAAAGGCTGACCAAAACTCGGGGCTGAAACCAGTGTGAGTGCTACTCAGAGTAGACCCACTGGCCATCTCCATCCATTTGAATGGGTCTACTCTGAATAGAACTCACACCGGATACAACCTTTAGTTTATTATTTTTTAAAGAAAAATAAAGCTCAGCATCAAGAGAAAGAAGCTGGAATATTTCAGAAGCTCCTCACTTTCCTAGCAGTGCCTATCTGCCCAGTGGCGTTTCCAGTCCAACCTCCCCCTGCCCCAACACTTGGCAGCCCAGGGGCTCTGCGTGAGGAAGTGGGTGCCGGTCCACTTCAGACCCCCAGCTACAAAGTGGGCTGTCTTCCCAGCATTGCCCCAAGAAGAGGGGCATTCAGCTTCCAGCTAATGTTTACTTGCCAGGCAGCAATGGGGCAAGGGCCGCCCTGCCCCCTGCCTGAATGAGCCCTCAGCTCCTGGGTTCCTTGACCTTATATATCAGAAGCACTTACCCACTTTGTGGCCCAGGCAGGACCCCTCTTCTCCAGCCTGCCGCTCTTACAGGTCACCCTCCCCTCCCCGCAAGGAACCACAATGACAGCAGCACCTTTGGCAGCACCCAGGAGTCTCACCCCGGGCCAGGCTCTGGCACGGAGACCTCCGTGCAGCCGGCCAAGCCTTCTACGGTTATTAATGGAGAAGCAGAAGCTGCGGCTCCCCAGATAGTGATCCTCAGAGCCTGTCGGTCTATTTCTGGCTCTTCTGGGGCTCCCGGGAGCTTCTTGTACCTGACAATAAGGAGGGGGGCGGAAAGTGACCTTCACTATCAACAGGGAAAAGACTCCCTGCCTCTCCCAATCAGGGCAGACGGAAACACACACGTGTGTGTGTGTGTGTGTGTGTCTAAGACCCACTCCTGAATCCAGTAGCCATGAAGTTCTAACTGATAGTCCGATTATAATTTATATGACAGCACTGCAGCATATACAGTCAGGAAGATAAACAGCAGCAGATTCCCATGGAAAATCCGCGCCCCCCCCATTTGAGCAGCAGCTGGTTCCATTTACGCTGCCTTCTTCAATGCTGCCTCCAGTTAAAGGCTCCCCTACTTAAGAGATGAGGGGTGCCACAGTTTTTGCACATGCACTTGCACTGCACCATGGGATTTGTGGTTTTAAGGCTGCAAAGACAGTATGCCACACATGGGCATGCAGCAGTTTGGCACTTCCAAACCTAGTCTGAAAAATTCTGGCAAAAGTGGGCTAGCTGAATTAATGCAGATTAAAGACCACCTTGCTCCCGTTTTTACTGTGACTACCTCAGATTAGCCTACAGGTATACTTGAAAACGATTCTCAAATAAGGATCCGGAGAATCAATGTTTTACCGCTACTGTTTTGAAAAGCAAGTGAAAGTAATTCCTTTCTGATTTAGTGTCTTCTTATACATACACGTGGGACGCGGGTGGCGCTGTGGGGAAAAGCCGATCAAAAAGGTCAGCGGTTCGAATCCCCGCGGCGGGGAGCGCTCCCGTTGTTCGGTCCCAGCACCTGCCAACCTAGCAGTTCGAAAGCACCCCCGGGTGCAAGTAGATAAATAGGGACCGCTTACTGGCGGGAAGGTAAATGGCGTTTCCGTGTGCTGCGCTGGCTCGCCAGATGCAGCTTTGTCACACTGGCCACGTGACCCGGAAAGTGTCTCC